CATTATACTGTACATACAGGTAAAGCGGTGATTGTGTGGAGACGATAGCGCCCGTAGCCTCTTGTCAGGATCTGATGGTGTTGGGGATAAAAACGAGACGCTGAAAACTTTGACGTGAGCTGCCGGCAAAATTTATTCCCAAGAGGATTATGGCAAATAATGCTTTTTCATTTTGTTTTTGTTTTTGGTTTATGATCAGAGTATCCTCCTTAGTCACGGGTAAACATTATTAAAGGTAGCATCACTGACGGTGTAAATATCCTGAGTATTTTACGTAAATATTTTTTAAGTTCTAATTTATTATGTCGAGTCCTTAAATTTAATTATTTTGTCTCGAGTTCTTTATATAGTTTTTTTTCCCCTAGGATTCTGCAGCTTATTTTAACTTGCTGTGCCGAGCCCCTGGAAAAAGAAAAAAGCGAGCGTAACAAGAGCGCATTATAAAAAGGGAATTTCAATATGGTCTCCTGGCATCACGTAATACTCAATGGTATAAGAACATACTAGGTCCACACTATTTATTAAGACAGTCTGTAATGGTCGTTTACGGTAATACGACACGTGTGCACATGTAAGTATTTTCATATAACGCTATTACAATAATGTGAATTGTCCATGTATACATTGTTGCTGCATCGAGTTATGTGATTAATCCTGTTTATTTTTTTCTGCCCGTGACCCTTTTGATGTGTAATTTAATGAGATTTTCTGTAAACTCCCTTTTAATATTTCCTTTGTGTAACTATGATACGATTTCGAAATTCTGTCTTTTTGTCTAATTCCTTTTCTCCGTTTAAACATTAGTAGGTTAAAAAAATGACGACGAAAGAAAATATGGTAACGTAACGTAGAGTAAAAGAAGTGTGAGAAGAAAAACCTGCAATAACAAGGAGGCACATCCCGCATGCACTTCCTCATTGTAGACCATAAATAATTAATCACATTATTTACAAAACATCATACCAATCCACTATAATTACCATATTAAGTCGTCAGGCTCGTTCATACCACTAACACTGTCACGAAACCTCACAGTACACGATCCATATTTTCCAACTCAACTTCCATGCACCTCACATGTACATATCACTTTAATGGTCTTCAAATTAAGAGTAATATTAAGTTAGTTATTTAAATCTATTGTCGTGCGTGTGTTGGCAATTTAATTTCTCTCAATACAATAGCCTTAAAAAACAACATTGCAATTTATTATGTAAATTTTCTCGAGATTTGAGTAGACACGTGTTATAGTGAGATAATTTATATATTTGTTTGTACCAGAACAATATTTTATATTGTTCTTTAACGTTTAAGTAACGTAGCGTAATTTATATTTATATTCCATGCAAAGAAGTAGCTTAATAAATTGATCAATATTCATGGATGTGAATGCTATCATCATCAAAGTGAATGAGCTTCCTAACATCAAATAAAACACTTTTTTCACAAGAAGCGAAATAACTATACATAAATCCACTTCTGGTACCCCCGTTACCCACGTTTAAACTACATCAGATTACATCATACTCATACATCTTGTGATTATTCCAAAATTTCCAGACCCCTGAACCCACTTGAGAGAGTTCGAGCTTCCGACGCTTGTAAACGCTGCCTAACCATTTTGGGGTTCATCATCTGGAAGTACAGCTGTTGTTATTGTATCTTGGTGGAGCCTCAGCCTACATCATAGTGATGTGGTAACTTGCTCTTTGTCGAGACTTTAGACAACAACACCCTCGGGATCTCTGAGATGTTATTGCCAGATGGTAAATTCACTTTCACTAAAGATAATAATTAAGACTAGGCCAATGATGACTGATATAGTTGGTGCGCTGACTCACAAGGCTAGGGAGTGTTGCAGTCCACGCCAACGTGACCATGAATATAAACCTCCAACAATGCATTATATTTAGTCTAGTCTGGAACTGTAAATCATTGTAGCCTCGTACAACATACTATTAACACCGTATAATTCACAAACACAACACAACACTATAAATTGTACATATGGCTTACACAAAACAAAACATAAATCATACATAACAACATAGGAAACTTAAACCACGCGATAATCTGTAATGAGTGATACTTAATGGTTGTGGGTGAAGATGTGAATCAGAGGCAGGGACAAAAGAGCCAAGTGACCAGCCATATGACTCAAGATACGACTTCACACATGAGCAACACCTACTTCGGATAGAGCGAACAAATCTCAACACCAAACAACACATTTCGATCTATCATTGAAATTGAATATAAACTCCTGACACCCATCACCAATCTGAATCACAGGTGTACTCTTCCCTGCTGTTTTTTTATACTGACATTTCCCATTTTAACTCGACACTGACACTATTTTGTTAACTCCATACTGACACTATCCTGTTAAACTCTACACTGACACTACCCTGTTAACTTTACACTGACACTACCCTGTTAACTCTACACTGACACCATCCTGTTAACTCTACATTAGCACTATCCTTGTTGACTCTGACACTCTCCCTGCAGTATATCAGCGACTTGTCTGCTCTATGACACTCTTAACAACATCTTCGATACATGTAACACGTGTAAATAAACTAGTAAAATAAGCAGTCCAGGTGAACGATCCTTAGAGAAATATCAACTAAGCTTACGAACAATGTAGATTTAAGTTTAATTAAACCTTCAGGTCCTTGTCCCATGATGGCACCTGTCCTGCACTTCAGTACCGACCGCAAAAGCACTTATAAAATAAACAATAGACGCACGACAACGTAATTTCCCTGATGCCATTACAAGACACAAGATTGAAGAAAATTACAAGTAATAACAGTCAAAGAAAATTGTTAATTACGAGCTGTTACCCGCGGCAAGGTTCGTAAAGCAACAATAACGAGTGCGTGGATGACTTCACTCATACATCAGCTTGCATGAGAGAGTGAGCGAACCAAGGACTTAATGGGTCATATCTGTGGGTTCAAACTTGGTATGAGTCTGTTTTTAGAGCATGTAGTGTGCGTGCGTGCGCATGCGTTCGTGTATGTGTATGCGTGTAGGCGTGCGCGTGTAGGCGTGCGTGTGCATGCGTGTGTGTGTGCGTGCGTGTGTATATGTATGTGTGTGCATGCATGTGTGTGTGTGTGTGTGTATGTGTATGCATACGTGTGTGTGTGTGTTTGTACATTATATACTCATACAGTACATCGTGACCGGAAGATGGAAGGCCAGCTCAGTGACCAACAGTAAGTGTAAATGAGATGCACAATAATATTGGCAATAGTGACGTGGAGGAGGGAGGACCAGGCTTCACTAAAGTCCTCTTGAGTCACAATGGCAATACTTCTCTGTGTGGTTACTGTCTATAGCCCACCACCTGTTGTAGTTCTCATGAGTTTATATAATTTATTTCCTGTGTTCCAGCGGTCTACCCGATATAGAATATGTATATTTTGCCGTTCTTGATACTGACTCTATAAATATTATGTTATTTTGGAAAATCTGTATAATGTACAAACCTGAGTAAATATCGGAAGATTGGGAGTAAAATTATTGTTTTCCAAACGTGTTTCAATATACAGGTGAGATAAATCGCTGGGGGAATCTTCTTGCCATTTCTGAGGCGCATGAAGGTTATACAGGTGTGGTTGATAAGGGACCTGGCATCTGGTGTGAAGTAAACATAGAATTTTATTTAGTTTCAATAAGATTTCCTTCGCCTTAATAGCAATGTCAAACAACACTCAAATTAGGCCCATGTTTGTGTATTGACCAGTACACTAAAGGTCCCATGTTAATGATATTATCACCTTCAGGTTGTGTGACGTATAATGAGTCGCTTATTGATACTTGTAACCTCGTCTGGTTTCACACCGAGTACATCTACGTCCACTAATCAAGTTTCCATGTGTCTGAATTGACATCACGAAGATAGGAATCTTTCATCACCCCGGAGATATTAAGAACTGTTCCCCCAAACAATAAGGTATCTATCTGACCGTGGAAATAAAATGGTAAGACGGTGGATATGTAATGCATGGTATGTGCATGGGGCCAGGCACGGCGCTGGATATTTTGAAAAACTCACACGTTGCTGGTGGTTCCTGTATATCGCTCGGGCTGTCCAGTGCCGTTACGAGGTCTCTGTTCTAGGGGTTTATTTTATTGCGTTAATCCTTTTATTTATTATTTGTACTTTTCAGAATTTATTGATCAGTTATTAAATAGTACTACAAGATTTTCAATAATAATATTATGATCACAATCAAAATCAGTGGTTCAATGCTAATTACCCGACAACTATGGTTTTCCAAGATGTATTTCTTGGTAATTTTATGTTATTCTGGAATTACTTAAATCCTAATTACAGTAGTAGAGAAAAGTAATTTCGCCCGTAATCTTGATATCTGAAATTTGATAAAAATTTTCCCGTTTTTTATAAAAAAAATCCAATTTTCTTTTATAAAAATTACTGTTTTCTCCGACACAAATTTCCATATTCTTTGTTAAAAATTTCCATATTGTATTAAACTTCCTGTTTTCCTTGACAAGACTTTCCAATTTTCTTTGATAAAAGTTTCCCATTTTCTTTGATAAAAGCTTTTAAATTTCTTTAATAAAATTTTCCTGTTTTATTTTATTAAAATAGATAAGAGTTGACGAGTAATAAGATAGTTAGTTAACTGGATTTTACTGAAGGAGTATCAGTACAGAGGCTATCCATTCTTACGCTGATGATTCTACTCTTCACTCTTCTTCACATTTTTCCCTCCCCCTAATTCTCAGACAAGTTGTGGTACTGTAGATTGTAATTCACCGATTCTTGTAATAATCTTTTCAAAATAACCTAACCTAATAATCATTTATGTGTACCTAATAACCATTTCCCTATACTTCATGACTATTTCAGATTGCTAATAATTTTGTCCCATTATTTTTTCAGTGTATCGGTACAATTTTATGGAGATCACCTGGGCCCTTGGGAGGAAGTCTATGCCCTAAAGAGGGCTCCTGGGCACCTGGCAGGGTCCCTCAGAGGCCTCTTTGCCCCCAGAAAAGGCCTCTGGCAGTCCACCTGGACCCCTAGGAGTGCCACTGGGCCCTTGTGAGGGTTTCTGGGCTCCTGTGAGGGTCATTGGGTGTGCCCCCGGGCCTGTGGGAGGGCTCCTGGGTCCCTGGGAGTGCTCCTGGGCCCCTGACAGGATCCCTAGTCCACTGGGAGGCCCTCTGGGCCCCTGGGAATGCCTCTGGGCACCCTGGGTCCCTAGGAGAGCCCCTGGGAGTGCCTCTAACCCTACAAATATCTCTGGGAGTGCTCCTGGGTCCTTGGGGGGGGGGGGCCCTTGCACCAGTGGGAGGGCCCCGAGGAGGGCTCCTGGGCCTCTTGGATGGCTCCTGACCCCTTGGAGTGCCCCTGGAACTTGCGAGGGCCGTTGGGACCCTACAAAAGCCTTTGGATGTGCTCTTGGGCCTCTGGGTGCCTGTGATTTCCCTTGACACCCTGCAGTGGCCCCTGGGAGGGCTCCTGGATCCATTTGAGTGTTCCTAGGTCTTTGGGAGGGCTTCTAGGCCCCTGGGAGGGCCCATGGGCCCTTAGGCACCCTGCTATGGCCTCTGGGATGGTCCATAGGCCCCTGTATGTGCTCCTTGGAGGGCCCATGAACCCCAGGAACGTCTCCTAAGTGCCTTGGAGGTCACCTAGGCCCTTGGGAGGAAGTCTGCGCCCTTGGGAGGGCTTCTGGGCCACTCAAGAGTGCGTCTGGGCCCCTGGAGAGCTCCTGTGCCTTATAGTGAGGGCCCCTGGACCCATGGGAGGGCCTTTGGCCCCTGGCAGTGCCCATGTGAGAGCTCCTGGGCTCCTATGACGACCATTGGGTGTGCTCCTTGGAGGGCTCCTAGGTACTTGGGGTGGCTTCTGGGCCCCTGGGAGGGCCTTTAGGCAGTTGGCAGAGCCCCTGGGCAGTTGGCAGGACCCCTGGGAGGGCCTTTGGGGGGCCCCTGGAAGTGCTCCTGGGCCCCTGGGAGTGCTTCTGGCCCCTGGGAGGGCCTCTGGGTCCCTGTGAGGCCCTTTGGACCCTGCAAGGGCTCCTTGCAAGGGCAACAGCAACATGCCAGCCAACTAAAAGACATTGTACGTAATTAGCCTGGTCCACTTGATAATGGACAAGGTTGAAAGTAAAGAAAAGCTGGAAAAAACTTACATCCCTGCTGTCATTATTCACTAAGTTAGTCTGCACTCCTGAAGCAGTGTTACCAAAGGCATGGAGAAAAAGCACAAAAGTATCACCACTAATCCACCCTCCACTATGGGAATTAGCCCACTACTAATTACTTACCACCTGTAGTTTTTCAGAGGCATTTTTTGATGTTTTTGTGTTATTCTGGATGTACTTATATAGTTAAACATATTAAATTCCAATTGAGAGAAAAAGGGTTGCTGGGAAAAACTCATTAACAGGTAAGGCTTACCATTTCAGATGGTATGTTAAATTAAAATAAATCAAGTTTATTAATGTTGGAATACTTTATTCATCAACATTTCATAACAATATTTTAAAAATACAATATGCGTATACTGTAATGGTTTAACAATTCCGAGTAAAATAAAATCACAATGTGCACCAATTTAAGGGCACAGATGTCCTTATGCTGTACATACAGTGCAAGGGATCCCCAAGTTCACGGATTTTTATTTTACGGTTCTCTATTATTCACAGAAGACATCCTGGTTGTACCCAAGAATGTCAGTGGGTAGTTTTAAAGTTGCCGCCATTTTTGAGGCCAAGACAGGGAGTCATTCATTCTAGAGACAGTAATTTCCTTTACCTGTATTGTAAATATGAGTGTGTGTGTGTGTGTGCAAACACACACAAAACACATACAAATAAATAATAATTGGAAAATCCTCTCACAAATAATCGGAAACAAATTTATTAAAAATATGAGTCTACAGTGAACCCTCAAGTCCGTGCTTTATTACACACACACACATATTTACAATACAGGTAAAGGAAATTACTGTCCTAAGGTCAAACACAAAGAGAATATACATTTCTTTGTGCACAAGTAAAAATGTACCCTCCTTCCCGGTCCGCAAATGTTATTTGCGGATTTGGCAATTTGTGGCCATTTTGAGAACCTAACCCCCGTGAATTTTGGGGGGGGCACCTGTACTGTATAGGAATTTTGGTTAAGACCACCTTGCATGAGAACATTTTAACATCCAACTTTAGTTGCATAACTTGCCAAAACCCTTAGCCAAATAATATAAATTACAAAGGTTTTTATTATCCCATTAAAAATGAGAACAAATATTAAACTGGGAGATCAATCAATGAATCTCTTTTAAAGATAATTTAACATGAGAACCAATTCTGTTTATTAATGCTGACAAAGGCATTATGAGTAGTGGACTTGTCAAGCAGTAAATGACAATACTTCTGTTTTCCATAAACATGAATTTAAAGTAAAATTTATTCATACTTTATTTCCAGTTATCTTACCAAATTCCATTCTTCTCACTAATAACAAACATCTAAATTCTGAGGTGCCTACAGATACACTGATTATTAGATCTGTTTAGTGAACTGGTCTCAGACATTTGTGTATGTTCAGTGGTAAAAGTCTATTGAGATTGAGAATAGATATCACTATCTTCTGTTGTTATTACTGTATTGAGTTTTACATAAGAGGTAATGCCTATTACAAGAAGTACTGTACTGCTGCCATTAACTTTCAAAATGAGGCTCCATTTTGATAGCAGCTGAAGAATACACTAATACCATACAATAGTGTAAGATTCTAATGCAAACTCACACAACACACTGATATTCTATATTCTTTGGTATTAAACAGGTATCATAGAGAAGTGTACAGTTAGGGTCAAAAGTTCACTCCCTCCCAAAATGAAACAGCATCAACCCCCAAACAAAATAAAACGGTCAGGGTAAGTCAATTCAGAGACTCATTACCAAGACTCGCTTTCACCACAGGGAGCAAACTTTTGTCCCCGACTGTACATCTAGGTAAAGGTCACCTCTTATTTAAGTAAAGAAGATTTTGGAGAGCCAACAAAGTCACTAGCAGAAGTAAAACTCAAAGCAAAGCTGATAGCAGGATGAGATGCAGAAGCCATTCTTGTAAATACTGTAGCTAATTAATTGTCAGTTGGAAGATAGTGTTGCATTCTGCCTTCTCATCCTATGCATCATTGGTTGATGTGCAATTGAAAAATTCTCCATAGTTCTTCGGTACTTTGTAAGCCACTACAGTATATAAATGAAGAAAAAAAATTTCACATTAACCCCTTCACTACGGGGACGCCACTTTTAATATTTTATTTGGCTAATGCCAAATAATTTTACTCAGCTCAGAAGGGACCCCATACACAAGGGGTTAATGTGCAGCATCATATGACACTAGTATTGAGTATTTCTGAACATGGCTAAAGCGTAGCTGCCAAATACCACATTGGCCAGAGGACTAGATAAAGTAAATCTCCGATCACAGCAGCACTTCTCAGGATCTAGTTTAATGTATATTATCACTAAAAAGCAATAAATTTTAATAGTGTGACAGATAAGAATAGGTATCAAATAGGTTCTTAAACATCTAGTTTTCTTACCTTCTACATAAAGCACTTACCATAAGCTGATTTTATTTTATACATAAGGCAAATTTCAATTCATGTGATTATGATATCTCAATGTTGACAACAAGAGTAATAATTGTTTGCCCCCCAAAGAAGTTGCAATGTGCCTCCATAACAACAGAAGTCGAAGGGGTAGTAAGTCTGAACAGTGACAGGGAAAAATATTATCAAACTCACTTTGAGATACAATATATCTACATGCCATGTTTGGATAAAATTCACATGTCTCAGGGTGAGAGGGGATAATAAAATATTATCTGAGACTGATTATGACAGCGTTAAAAAGAATCTAAAAAAAAATTGTAGTCCACTGAAACATATTTCAAGGAGAGCAGCAGCCATAACTGTGTAGAGTATGTACAGGGAAAGCAGATTACTTAACCAAGTTTAAATATCACCGATTAAAGCTGTATACCACACTGTATTTTCATCCACAATAACCTGTTCAAGTTACTGTACTGATAGAAATGTCATTTTGTACAAACAGACGGACAGACAGGAGTAAGACTACTGTACTGTATATGAGTTTACCCATGTGATGTGTCTTAAGTATCACCGAAGCCAAAAATGTCTTTTTTATACCATTATATTCACCAAACACCTATTTCAGACCCAATCAGTAAATAACAGGTCATGACATACACAAAAGGGTCAAAAGTCCCTTTAAATCATTTAGGTAATCTGCAATACAGTAATATCGTTATTATCATCATCAATTATCATCCGAATTACTACCCCATTTTAATGTTTACTGTGATTCATGAGAATTTTTCTATTCTTTGGAATTCTGCATGGAATAATTGATGCCAGAAGATGCAGTGCTTTTAGCAATTATCATGATACAATATGATAATCTTTTGAACTAAATAATATATTTCCTTTACCTCCATAATTATTAAATGCAAACACAATTTTATAGTTTAAAAAAGCTTTCCTTATTAGAATAATATGTACTTTGTTTAAATGCATACAAAAAATTATGATATTATAAATGAATTGCCTATATCCTGTATTATAAGAGCTTATAATGGGGGGAGGTCATTGGCTACAAAATAAAGAAAAATTATAGATATAATTATTAGTTCAAAAGTTATAGTAATACTGTATCAATATCACTAAACTTTTACTGTGTGTTTTGGTGTTTCTTTTGTTTTTGGCACTTTGATGTTTCTCACTCGGGACGCCTTATATACCCACTGAAAATGGTAAGACCATAAAATTGAGGGATTGACCCTGATATCCAATTTTATATCCAAGTCTGGAATGTACAGTCATCAGGAAATTCACGAATCATTCTTTACAAGAATTAGGCTATAAATGCCTAATTAATCCTTACAGACTGGGAAAGTTCTTGAATAGAAACCATCCAGTTGCAAGCACATGTAAATATAAGAAAGATTACACTTGTTTTTGTATAGCAACTTTCAGCTTTAATTCTGCCATCACAAAAACTATGAAGTTTTTAATAGTGCCCAGAAATAAAGGACACATTAAGGATTCTTGATAAAATCTAACCTGGCTTAAATCTACTCACCTGCACACAGCTCTGCACTGATGATCTCTCCAGTCTAACTCTTCTTTACAGTTATGATAAAAATAAATGTATAACATCAAATTTTCAAATGGTTTGTATTGACATGGCACACTGTCAATGATGTCCGAGATTTTTTACGAAGTTAAGTAATGTAATTAGTCATTCATTTATTTAGATAATATTTCCTCAACACTATAATTCATGCAATAGTTAATGGGAAAAAGGCATTGAAATTAGAGGCTGACATAAATAGAAGAATATTGAATAAATAGTCCTTTAAACAGGCTAAACAAAACAAGTAAACATTTCATAAAAATATAAGACCTTGATATACTCTATCTCTAACACATACCCTGCGAGGGATACTTTAGTGGTAAACTTAGTAAGACACTGGCAAACAATCTATACACAAACAAGGTATTCAAGTTATATAAAATTAAATAATCACTAATTTCTATGTAACACGAAATATTCATGGCTTTCACTCATCAAACTTCGGATAGTCTGACTTTAACTGATTTCTTTTTGCTAACATTGCATAAAACACATAACAGAATGTACAGCATATCAGAATATTCTTTCTTTAAGAAATATAAGTAACATATTCCCACCATATGATGGATAATACATCATTGTATCCCATTCATGGACCAATGCCAAAATGCTCATAGCATTTATAATCATCTTTCTAGAATTAAATGTATTATTAGGAGTTAATTAGGTTGATATTTGAGATATACTGTTGTGTGTTTAAGCCTCAATACCAAGGTCCTCCAGCATAGCCTCTAGAGACGACAGTTTGGTGCGTGCTTCATGGATGCCAGATATTGTCTGGACTGCTGAAGATATATGGTAACGCAGCTCGTCTACAATCAGAACGGTGTCAGTCTCTTGACGGCCTTGAACGTCCTGTGCGTCTGCTAAAACCAGGTCCCTAAACTCTTGTTGTTCCATTACCTAGGGTGGACACAGAACAAATAAAATAAGACATGTAATCAGGGTTGTCTCCTAAAACCCTAACAGATAGACAAAATTTATATTTCACAACAGGTTTGCAGCCCACTACCACCATCCTTAATTTATAGAAAAAAAAGGAGGCTACTCAGACCATACAAGCAAACATTTGTACAGACAGCTTAATGTAACCTGAAACAAGAACTACAAATACATCAGATAAGGTAAGGTTATGATCAGATAATAACCTGCAAAATAGATTCCTCATCAATGGATTTAGTTTTGTGGCTAGAGTACTGTATTCTTAATTGGGTAAAAAATACCAGATACAGTATGTAATTGAAGGTGACATATACGCACCTACAATTTATAAAACTACAATAATTACATAATATTCCCTTTCCAACCAGTTGCATGACTGTGCTCTGAAAATTTTCAAAAAAGTAAAAGGACTGAACTTTCCTGGTAGAGGTTTCTTGACCTGAGGAAAACCTGTACAGCAGTCTGAAGCAAAGAAAACTATCTCCACAAAGTGGTTCATGGTTGCCTTACAAGACATTAGTAACCAGGTAAATCAGAAGCCAGCAATGGTAACACCTCAACCATGATCCAGCTGTTTTATTCAATAATTATACAAATTGAAAAGTCACTGGGACAATTCCCTTGCTGTACAGTATCACTTGACTCAAACTCTTTCATGCACACTCGAGTCTGTGAAGTTCATTCTTTTATTTTTCTTACTAATGAGGAAACATACCATGATTGGTCTCAAGTTGGTCAAGTTCCCATAAGTTGGTCACGATGATCTCTAAAATTCAAGGAAATGGTCAAGAAAGGACACGCACACACACTGGTAGCAAGAGGTAACACAGTGGATCGTGTTTTGAAACAGTTATGATGATGCCAGACATAAGATAAGAAAGAAATATCCGGTAAAGAAATATGAATGTGAATTAGTGAACTTTGAAAAGCTGTTTCATAAAGTAAAATTGGCACACATACCATTAGGTTTCAAACCTGTGATAGTGCAGCAACAGTGTCTGGAAAGTACAATAGAGTTCAAGGGAAATTATCTGATATGCTTTAGAGACCAATCACTTACATTCCTTGTCTAACTCATGGCTCTAATTTAGTGAGTGAGCATGGCTGCAATGCGAGTGAACTAATTCTACATTTGTATGATGTACTGAAATCTTGCTATGTATTTTTTAGCAGTAGCACCTGTCGTCATGTGTGTGTGTGTGTGTGTGTACAGGTATTTGTTAATTTTCTACCACCTTGTTGTAAGTGTGAGAGGGCCTGAATGAATGAAAAAAAAAATCTAAACTGCAATACTTCACCTGATCCAGATTTTTGGCCATAAAAGCAACACATTGGTCTTCCAGTCGTGGTAACTGGAACATGCGTGATAAGTGGAGGATAATGACAACGTTGTCAATGTTAAGCTGAGAGCCGAGGTACACTCCGCACTGACGTTTTAAGCCTGGCACCAACAACATGTCTGCAGCAACCATAACATCCATTGCATTCTCCATATTCACCTGAAAAAATTTAGCATTAGCTTATAAGTCTATTCAGTTAAATTCTTTCAGTATACAGTACAGTACAATAATTCTAAACATATTTAACAGCTTTCAACTCCTTTACATTCTACGAACACAAAATGCTGTACTCGTGAGAAATTAAAATATTACTACCATTGGCACCAGTCACCACGTAACGTTGTCCTTCAGATTTAGCTGTTACTTGGTTCATGACATAACCAGACCAAGGTTCAAATAATACAAGGGTAATTACAACGAGTTGAGGGAGGCAATGCTGGGTATCCACTGGCCAACTCACTAAGGTATAAGAACACAGACACTACTCTGAATATCATAGCCAGTAAAGTGAACCATTTGATCAATAAAGATATACCCAAGACCAAACCCAGTGCCTCCAGGAATACAAGGAGACTGCTACACATAAACCATGCGGCGGTCAACAATGTTAAAAAGAAAACTCAGAAATTTGAAATGTGGGATAGGACAAATGATGAGCAGGAGAGGAGAATGTATGTCAAAGAGTAGAAGGGCTGGAAAAGAGTTCCAGAGGCAGATTGTAAGCGAGATCAAGTCAAACCCAAAGGCATTTTACTTCTACGCAAAGTCAAAATTAAAAACGTGAGTAGCTGTATCGGACTTGAGGCTTGAAGATGGTAGTTACGCAAATTCTGACCAAGACAAGGCGGAGGTGATGAACAGTTCTTTCCCTCGGTGTTCACAAGAGAGGATGCGAACAATCTTCCTGCGTTTGAGAACAGATGGTTCGACATAGTGCTGATCCACATTGTGTTCTCAGAAGAGGTTATAAGAAATAAATTGCAAAAGCTAAAGGTTCATTAGAGTCCCAGCCCTGAAATGGTGCATCCCAGAGTGCTAAGAGAGTTGTGTAACAAGCTTGCTGAGCCCCTGAAGATCTTGTTCTGCAAATGCCTAGATGAGTAAAAGGTCCCCAGTGATTGGAAAATGCCTGAGTACAATATTGCGTTTAAGAAAAAAGTACTGGAATTTTATGGTGAAAAGAAGGGGTCTGGACCCCCCTCCCCCCCTGGTTCTGCCCTTGGAATTGTAATTTCTTGGGGTATAAAAATTCAATGAATAAACTTGTATTCAATTTGGAGAGAAAATTTGAGAGAACCAGTTCACATTATCATTTGTGTAGCACCACAGGAAATCTCCCAAGTTCTAAATACCTGTATGGGGTATTATTACATCTTAGCCCCTGTTTATGAAGCAAAGGTATCCACGATACAGAATGACATGCTTTGACAGGGGGAGGCAGCTGTCCTGAGGTTTATTTACTGGAAAAACAAAGATGGCCGATGAGAGGTAAACACAACTGCTGCACAGGCTGTTGGAAAGACTCTTTTCATTCTTATCCTTCAGTTGTGACCTCTGCCTGCCAAACCCCTTTTTAAAAGCTAAGGGTGTGATAGTTATACTCACTGTTTGACAAGTGGCAGCCATCATTGTTAGGGATTAGTCTGGGTTGCAACCTAGCCTTAATGGTGTAATACATGAGCTTCCTTATATAAACATGAGGCCACAAATCATACCTAAGGTTTTACAAGAGCTTAGTGCTACACTTACAATTGTCTGGTTGCAGTAGAGGTAATGTACAAGAATTGCAAACACTTCTGCCGAGATGTTGTTGAGGGTGACCACTGGAATGCGACTATCAGTAGAATCCCTCCACTGAGCTTCGTGAAAATGATCTCGCAACAGGGCCTTAAAGTACTCACTTCGAGGACAGAAGAACATCTGTTAAAGCAGATTGTTAAACGTTATAGAAGAATACCACATCCTCACCTTCAATAGTTGAGGCACAAACATTACCTCTTAAAAACATCTGAAGAGACCCGATACACTGTACCTTTTTTTTATTTATTTGAAATTACAGTATATGCACTTTATGAAAAAACAGTACATACAGTGTTCTTAAACATTATATGACATTTTTCATTGAAGAGTTACCTTGTGACACATGAAAGGATAACCATCCACCATGAAACAAATATCAGCAAAAGGTGGTTGATCCTGTGTGTTACAAAACGGCATCTCAGTGGGCCAGAAGCGGAGGTGTGGTGGCAGTGTGGCCTGCGTCAGTTCACGTAGCTCGGCACTTACACTCTCAGACCCCATTCCTTCAGAGGAGTCAGGCTCCACCACCACTGTAGTCACTTTTATTAGCCCGTGTTTCTCCATCTCTGGGAAGATAATGTTACATAGATTAATGTAAGGGCGACTGATAACATATGTAACCCAAACACCCAAGTATACCCTGTTGTTAAGGCAAAATGCTAAGCACAAGTTCTTGATGACCTTTCATTTGGCAAAAATTTATTTCCTCTACCATTTTTGGCATGTCCTTGTTGAACCAAACAACTTTTCTTTTATTGAAAAAATTCCTAACTTGACTTCTTAACCTGGGCATCTGTTCTTAAATATCACACTTCAAAGTTGTCTGTAATAGTTAAGATAAGATTAGGTTAGGTTAGGTTAGGTTAGGTTAGGTTAGATTAGTTTAGGTTTTGTAAGGTTTGCTTGTTTTTACTCCACAAATTGTCTCCAATTCAAAACTCTACCCACTTTGTGATAAAAATACCACTTTTTATGTGAATTCAAAGGAAAAAAAATGAAAAATATAAATTTCCGACAGAAACGCCACAGAAAAAAGTTTTTTGTTTTTTTAGCTATCTCCCTGTAAACAAATCCTGGAACATCACGTGCGGTTAATGGCGTCTCCTGGAACATTACAGGTGATTAATGGCAACTCCTGGAACATCGCAGGTGGATAATGACGTCTCCTATAACATCATGGGTGGTTAATGGCGACTCTTAGAACATCGTGGACGGTTAATGGCGACTCCTATAACATCATGGGTGGTTAATGGCGACTCCTAGAACATCACGAGCGGTTAATGGCGACTCCTAGAAATCATGAGTGGACAATGGTGACTCCGAGAACATCACGAGCGGTTAATGGTGACTCTTAGAACATCATGGGTGGTTAATGGTGACTCCTAGAACATCATGGGTGGTTAATGGCGACTCTTAGAACATCATGGGTGGTTAATGGCATCTCCTAGAGACCTAGAACATCACAAGTGGTTAATGGCGACTCTTATAACATCATGGGTGGTTAATGGCGACTCCTAGAACATCACGGGCGGTTAATGGCGACTCCTAGAACATCACGGGCGGTTAATGGCGACTCCTAGAACATCGTGGACGGTTAATGGCGACTCCTAGAACATCACGGGCGGTTAATGGCGACTCCTAGAACATCGTGGGCGGTTAATGGCAACTCCTTCATCACGGGCGGTTATTGGCATCTCCCATAATGATTCTAGAACATCAATATGTCTGCTATAACACTCATCTATCTGGCTCCTCACCTATTTTGTTTGGCGTCTCTCCAGGCTCTATTCTCGGTCCTGTACTGTTCCTGTTGTACATAAATGATATAGTCCACTCCAGCACGCTCGTAAAATACAGCCTATTTACAGACAATAGTAATCTCTATGCCAGTAACTCAGATCTCCATTCCTTGATGAGAAATATGAAAAATTAATTTACCAAAGTCAGGAACTGGGTAATATGTAATAAACCGACCTTAAATCTCGAAAAACCCGCTACACAATCTTTCTCAGAAGGAAAAACTTACCTCCAAATATGTACCTTGGTAATACAGTCCTCAAACGTGAACAAAATACAAAATTCCTTGGGGTTATTGTTGATGATAAACTAAACTGGAGAAACAACATACAAGTCATTCACAGTAAAGTCAATAAACAATGCTATGTTGTACCACACTCGTCAGTCACTCACAAATTAAAACAATGAAAGAAATCTATTATGACCCCACTTAAACACAACCTCTGGTCACTGCCCAGAAGAAAGTTGTGCGGACAATGACCTACTTAAAAAAACTGATCGCCCTTAATACGGTGAATGATAATGGTGGGTTAGGAGGGTAGGTAACGGGTAATATAATGCTGCAGGTGGCGTGAACAAGGAGCAAAATATTACGTCCTAAAGGCGACGACTGGGACAACCAGAGCCAGACGATGATAAAGTCACCAGCGCAGGTGTGGCCCTCAGTGAATAAGGGTGTGAGGGGGGGTGTGGGTAACGGTGTAAGCAAAATAGTAAAGGGGAGAGACATAGGAGGGGGTCTTGACAAGTGATACTGAGGTGAGAGGGAGGGAGGAAGGGAGTCACGGGTAGGTAGGGGGAGCTCCAAGCCACCAGTTCTGAGGCTGGCCCTCCACGCCAACACTCCACAGTGCCCCTGCTGCCTCTCCTCCTGCACCACATAAAACGCCCATCATTCCTGTTACAAGGCGTGATAGACAATCTGCCACTCACTCCAAATCAGGCGTACTCCTGCCGCCGCCTATTAAATTCCTTGTGTACAGTGACCACCTGTGTGAGATAGTGTTGTTGTCGTGTGCCTCAGAAAACCTAAGACTCGTAGTAGCAAGATGCGTCATCGTTAAGCTCTACCCACCAAGCTGTCGGAATCTGTTTACTTACCAAACTGACACTGAGCATAATGTGCGAGTGTTGATACCCGAGAAAAAAATTAAATAGTTGTGGTGTGTGACCCCTGTAGTGTAGCGGTGTGAATGATGTAGTTGCCACCACTACACTGGAGGACGAACATGACAGCGGGCGGTATGACTGGCTGGCATGACTAAAACCACCTTAAACGTTACCGATAAATCAGAAAGTGACATGACATCGGGCGGCATAAGAGTTGGTGAGAGAATGAGGCTGAGGAGGTCGGGGAGTAGTGGGGCTCTTGTGGAGCGGCTAGCAACGGTATCCGAGGCGCCTCTCTCACTCCCGCCCATCCTGCGGGTAGCAAGCGGTGGCAACCTGTCCGATAGCGGCAGCAACCTGTCTGCCAGTGGTACAAACCTATGCGTCAGCGGAGGCGGCCACCTGCGGGTACGAGGAGTGTTGGGACCTCCGCTCGCTCGCAGCCGTTCCAGAGGAGACACCTCTGTCAAGGAGGATGAGGAGCGAACATCGGGCCGCATCCGCCTGGTGTTCTGGCCGTACGCGGGCCCCGGAGTGCGTCGCGGCTCCCAAAACGAGTACGAGGTGATGCGTCGCAGCTCAGACGACCTAAGCCGTCCCCGTCACGATATCTCGATGGACTCTTGTAGCATCCCGGACCTCTCTTGGGGTAAGTGTCTCCCTCACTGTCTTCCCTTCACCTCCAACCTCCACAAGCCCCCCTCGTGGTTTGTATTCCCACCCTCCCATCCACCACACAAATATGCTAGGCTTAATTTCACAGGTTTATTTATGTCCATGTAAGTTACGTCCTCCAGTTAGAAAATCAACATAATCAAGAGATCCTTGCAACTTAGCAAAGAGCCAAAGAAAGAGCACACGTGAAGGTCATGTTTCAACCGCAGAGGAAGTGTTACTGAAGATCTGCTGCCTATTTACGACAACTGATACTTTTACTACAGCTCATATTATGCGGCCACCTTCGTTTCAAACAAGTGTGATGTACATTACAAGGGTACTATTACGTACCGCATGCCGCCACATGTGTAAAACTTTCAATGCATCGAGATGAATAACTATTGATCGTCATCCGTAAATATATACCAGATTATTCTCAGCGTCATTACTTATTCCACCGTTTTCAGCCACACATACACATACAAAATTCAAGTACCCAGTGCCTATATATATATATATATATATATATATATATATATATATATATATATATATATATATATATATATATATATATATATATATATATATATATATATATATATACACACACACTATGGAAATGAAACAAATACATACACAACAACAGTTGTACATACACAAGACCATATAGTGAATTTACCTTCGCATACAAGCACTCACACATACTCACAGAGGTTGGGGGGGGGTGTTGGGTGAAACTTGACGCCGCTAAGCCAATAACATCCCCCTTGTGAGTCCACTGTACGCCCTCCTTAACTATCACACCTTGACACACCCCATCACTTCCCTTGACACACCCCCATCAATATCTCCATTGACACACTCCATCACTCCCCTGACACATCCCATTACTTCCCTTGGCACACCCCATCGCCCTCCCCCTTGACACAACCCACTTCGCTCCGTCCTTACGTAGACACATTCAGGGCTCCCTTTGAGCACACGTCCACACATAACGTCCACACACACCACAATGTTTGTACTGTGCTGCCGGCCGGTTCTTACAGTACTTATCCACATTCTCAGTAAATGCTTGGGTATTTCTATTAGGTTTAAATTATTATCATCATTATTAATGTCACAAAGAAATACATTATAATTTTAAATATATGGTCTTTGTGCATTTTATTATAAGGTCCATTACGTCTTCTATATCGTTTTCTATAGTTATTTCATGAATTCGTTTTTATCTTACTGATAATTTAATCTTATTTAAACAAAAAAATATTGTAATTTAGTTTATGTTGATACTCTGAGCATTTTATGTATATAGATTAACAGTATATTACGGTTAAAGATTAAGACAGGTTGCCCCTGGGGTGCGCGACACAATCCGAGCTGTTGAACCCCCTTCCAAAAATCCAATAACGTAACGTAACAAGACAGTCCTGAAGGCATGCGCACACGAGGAATGCGCCGGTCAGGTGGATACAGTGCTCGCCTCCCACCCTAAAGAAAGCTGTACTGTATAGGAGTTCCTAACGTTAGAAGAAATTAAGACAATTGAGTGTAAGGACGGCCACGCTGCCTCCTAAGTATAAAGCGTCCTGCATCCACACTGTCCCTGGTGGCCTATGAAACACTCGACTCCAAGCAATACATCCCTCTGGTTTACCAATACTTCCCTTATGTATCTATGGGAATATATTTCTTATCTCAACCATCAGCCTCACGGACCCTCTTGTACCAGCAGCGTACACTGGATAGCCACACCAACAACATTATACATAAAACAGAGGAACAAGGGCCCCATACAAGACATAACGTTCCCGTCTCGTTGAGGAGCCACGACTGCACCCTCTGACCAAGACGGAGTTACTGGAATGCACAACTATGGCTTTCTATTTCTTCACCCATTTTTATTTAAATTAGCCTCAAAGTATTTCACGATGTATATTATATTTCCAATACCTTTTTTGTATTATATTAATGGTAAATTTTTTGTATTTTATAAATATTAAGCAAAACAGCTTATAATTCACCTGCTTATTAAACACCCTAATGCTACAGGGGGAGGTTAGATTATGGGAAGGTTATATTAGGATAGGATAGATTTGCAGTAGGTTTGGTTAGGCTTAGATTAGCATTAGGGTTGCTAGTCTTAGGGAGAGATAGGCGGGGTGTTAATCTTCACGTGACCCCTTTTGTAAGTCCATCATCGAGGTATCCACATTACTCCACTTCCTCCCGCATTCCTCTTATCTTTCTCGTCCTCACACTTCACTACAGTTACCATCACCTGTCTTACTGTTCCTTGTGTTCTTTGTGTCCAATCATTAACTTTAGAATTATTGTGGCTATAACAAATTTTACAGATAGACAGGAAGATAGATTATGGTTAGGAATATAAAGGAGGGAACGGGTCCTATATTGGTTCAAATCCTATATTGGTTAAGTCTTTTATTCGATCAAATCCAATATTGGTTCAAGTTCGTTTTTAACACCACTTTAGGTAAATATCGTACTTAAATTAAGGCAACTTTTTCTTTAGACGATAGCAAAAACCTGAATATCAGAATGTTAATGTTTTTTTGTTGTTGTTTTGTCCAAATACTGTATTTGCGTCATGGTCTCACTAACACACACAAACATATTATTTCTTCACTCACGGGCATTCACTAACTGCTGTAATGCACATCAACCATCAGGTGCACGTCCTTACTCTCCTCTGCCCCCCCCTCCCCTCATCTCCTCCCCCACTCCTAAAAAAATAAGTCAACGTCATATTTTCCGGTGACTTGCACATACTGCTGATGATCTCTGACTTAACATGGAAAACATTAATTTTTTTTTGTCTTGTACAGTAATTTGCTCTCTCTCTCTCTCTCTCTCTCTCTCTCCATGAAGAAATATTATACCTGTACCATATTATCGTCACTACCTCTTGAATAGTAAGAGAACTTTCAGCAGTGTTTAACTATTAATTCTGCAGTCCCTTACAGCCAACAGCAGTGTATGGTTATACAGGCCTAACACGGCGGCAAGGTCAAGGTGACAGTCATTGATCCCGATCCTCAAATAATTACAAGTTAATCGTTACGGTAGAATTTAAGTAGAAATTGATGCTATTTTGTCCGCCATCTTGTTTTCTTCTTAGGGTGGCAAATTGTATATTTTCTTACTTTATTATGAAAGTTAAAATATATACACTAAAATCTTAAGAGAATCTGGAGCCACAGTGTCAGTATCATGTTGAGAGACAAGCGTAAGGTGTCGAGAAATGCTGTGCTCGCTAAACTGGTACTCGCTCCAAAAATTATCTTTATGGAGGAGACCGATGAATTTCAAATGAACACTGTGACTCCTGTTATCTAGGTAGGGTTGTCAAAATCCTTCTTCCATTGTGTCATGTTGTCTCACACAAAACTGTGTAAGATACTTTTTTGGGGCAAGTGTTTACATTAGCTGTGTCTACCACACAAAGTGCAACTGCAGAAAATGACAAAAACAGGAAAGGTGGAGTGGTGGTTAAATTTGGTTAGGTTAAGGTTGGTTTTCTTCAACTACTGACAAAATATTGATAATGAGTGTTCTGGTGTTTGTGTGTAGACAAACAGTGAAAGTGACTGTGTGTGGGGGGAGGGGGTAGCGACAGGAGCAGCACTTGCGAGGTTGCCTGCGTGGTCTGGTGCACCACATGACACTCCCACTGCTGTTACACCGGCCCATCTTGTCTCCACCTGCAGCCCACACACCTAACACACCCTCCTCTCCTCTACCACGCACATCATCTACACTCCCATGTCAAGTTATCTGGGTTAACTCTTGTTAATGTTAGTCTTTCATAATTTTATCTCATGATACTGGAGATTTTCAAGTGACCAGCAGCTGGCATGAGTGAGGTATACTGGCAAGATTTTAATTAACCTGGTGGGGTTACGTCGCCATGCAGGTGACCACCTCATCGGTCATGTGATAGTATCATGCACACCATTACATGATATAACAGAGTTGGTGACGTGAAGTACCCAGCCAAGTGAAGTAGTGTGTGTGTCAACCTTACCAGTGTAACACAGTACAGTGACTTTAATTCTATTAGTGACAAAGAAATGTGATTTGCTGGTGTATCATTCAGCACTAAGAGACTATCGAGTTATGTAAATTAACGTCTATCACATTAAAGTCGGTGTCTAAAGAAGAGAATTACAGTAAAAAGTTCCCCTAGAGCTACACATAACAATAGCTTATCACATACACTTTACAGCAACTGTATATATAGAAGGAAGAAGTCAGTATTGCAGTAAGATGCAAAAGTTGGTGTAAGTGGCGTTTGCTGTGTGTGTGGCGCAATAAGAAAATACTTCAGTCCCCACAAGAATAACTCCAGGCCAGAGTACAGTGCCTGCGTTTAGTCCTGGTGTCATCCCTCTCCGTCCTACAAGTGAGAGCCAGAGATGTGTGTTTATTACATGCTATCAACCATGTCTACTCTGATTTAAGGACGACCAATTAATCAATGTTTTTGGTCTGTGTGGTCAGACAGAATTATATAAGACAGCTATTTTATATAAAACAAAAAGTGACAATAATCTTACGACACTCGCCAAGAGTCAGTAATAAGTGATACACGAGTCAGTGATAAGTGGTAAAGACATCAGCACATGACGTCTCCGCCCACGGGCTCACCAGTTGGCTGACAGCGAGAGAGCATTATCATATTAAAGCACACAGCGCAGTGGCAGCAGCCTAAAGATCCACGTCGAGGAAAATGTGGTGGAGACCGGCGGCAACATGGTGATCACCTGCCCAAACAATGGCAAGGTCTGCCAGCAACAAGGTGAGTAAGGTTGTTTCACCTCAACATGGAGAGTCGAGGCCAAGTTTTGAAAATGTTTCTGCCCACATATACAGTATGTAACAATGTAAACCACCTGGAAAGCGTGGTCTAATTACCCAGAGTAACACTAAGGCTGGGACAAATATGAACGTCTTGACACTCTTATTTTTCTTTATTAGTTAACGTTTCAGTTATCACAGCAACCATTATCAGATCAATCTACAGAAAAGAAATAACATGGTTCTGACAAGCAAAACACACGAACTAGTGGGAGGACAACAAGTCACTAATCTATCACACCTTCAATCTGTTAGCCATTCACTAAACAAGAGTAAATAATGCATCACATAATCCACACTTCTTTACTCACACGTCTAAGAGCTTAACGCTGAATATTACATTATCACATTCACAAACACATGACTCAGTGAGCAGTGACTACATGGGTGGGTGGGAAGACTTAGTGGTGAATAAGCTACCCATTTAACCAGCATCTGACCCAGCTCATGTAGTGCCTTGAGGAGCATGTCACCACAAGCTCATCTTTTGTTCGTATTAACTATGAGGTCAAGGTGGACCCAGCGTACCCCACAACACAGGTCACCGCCGCTTTCCACCAATTAATTTGTTTTATATGGCAGCTGAAAACCGTGTGAGGCAGGTCAAGGTGTGTGAGGAACATTGAGGCAGGTCAAGATATGTGAGTAACTGTGTGAGGCAGGTCAAGGTGTGTGAGTAACAGTGTGAGGCAGGAAAAGATGTGTGAGTAACCGTGTGAGGCAGGTTAAGATGTGTGAGTAACCATGTGAGGCAAGTCAAGGTGTGGGGAGGACAATGTGAGGTAGGTCAAAGTATGAGGTAGGTCAGGGTGTGTGGAGGTCAGTGTGAAGTTGGTCAATGTGTGTGTCTGACCATCATACATACATACATACAACAATAATGGTTGCCCCTCGTGTTCGAGGATACTCAGCCCAAGGACGACCTAGGCACGAATTTGTTTAAGGTGCAGAAGCTGTCGCCAACACAACAACCACACCCTAAGTTAATGAGTTGCATGACCCAGTGTGAAGGAATAGTCCGAGAAGACCGGACAACTTGCCAACTGCACTGGCTAACCATTACCCAGGAACACGATCTGCAAATCGATTAACATCCAGGACCCCAATTACATACATACATACATACATGCATTCATACATAGGTTGATAGAATTGTCTATATCTTATGCACTGTTCTTCAAAAAAAATTTCAAGGAAGGAAGCTGTGTATTTCATATTTGGTGTTGTGAAGATGTTGACAGTGATGTTGGGTGTTCAATGGTTAGTGTTGTTGAGGTGGCTGGGAGCTTACAATGTAGAAAAAATTAAAAGCAAATAACACTCACGTAAAGCTAGGGCCTTCTTTAGTGCATCCTCAATCATGGCCTTAAAGTTGGGCAGCTTGCAGTTCAACCCAATACGAATACTTCTTTCTACTAACTCCAGAGGACACTCAAACCTTCCAGTATATATGTACTTCATCACCGCTCTGAAGGCACCTGGATGTACCTATATGTGTAAAGAATAAAATAATACTGTAATGATAACCTGGGTATGAAGGAAGAAAACATGGTGTCAACCATGTTAATTCTACCTCAAGTCTAAAAATTCATCAAAGTCTCTTAAACTGTGACTCATGTTTGATGTGCAGCCCCATCATCCAAGTGAACCCAAGACTAATCTCCTATACCCTTGAAGAAAAGCAACTGCCATGGTAGAAGACATATTTAGCCTGGGACCTGATAAAGTGTGCATAAAATAAACAGGAATGTTCCTTGATCCTTGTCTGATCACAGAATCAAGGTTATTTTTCAAAGATTGATAATCCAGATTACTACCAAGAATAACACAGCTGTCTTTGCTCATATTGTTTACTTTGCCGATTAATCATAGCAGTACCATTAATCACTAATTAACAAATAATGCCTTTCAAGTGCCTACAGTTTTTATATAAAAAGACCTTGTACATAACCTGCAACTTTTTAATAATCAATCTAGTAAAACTCAATTATTATATGTCCCATCCCAATACTCACCAAATCTTTATTGATGCTCACTCTTGACCTGTTGTGCCAGCGAGTTGAGAACATGTCTCTGAAGTACTCTGAACGTGCGATCAGCAAACATCGATGGAGAGGAAAGGACTCCCCCTGAACCACAAAGGTTATGTCGTTATGCTCGCCACTCTCAAACAATCTGGGAGAAATAGAAAACCATGTCATCTTAAAAGTTGTGTATACCTGTATAGTACATTCTGCAGTGCATTAACCTTTTAGTGACTCCCATACATATAGAGAATATTATGCAAGTACTGTACTGTGCTTGGCAACAAATTAAAAAAATTATTTCATACTAAAAAAGTACTGTACGGTACACTAGCATACAGTAAAATAATTATGATCTTCACCCCAAGTAGGCCATCATAACCATCTCAAGGCACACAGCACAGAAGCCCACTTGTGTAACCTAGAAGCCATACACTATACACTCAGGAGCTAACGTAATTCAACACCTCATTGCTTCTCAGACAGACAGTCATGCACAGCACAGACAAAGACAAAAAGACAAGACAGAATTACAGAACCACAGACACAGATGTATACACACATACACACAAGCTAAGAAAAGCACTAAGTCATAAATATATCTACGTAATTGTAATACAGTAAACCCCTGATACAACAGACTAACTGGGAGCAAGGCCAGTCCATCAAAGCAGAAAGTTCGTTATATACAGATCCAGAATAATAATGGACTCGGTCTGTTACTGTATATACCAACATAGTCGGAAGTGACCACATGGGTCACTTTTCATCAACACTCACCATCGCCACCAAAACTCGCCACCAACACTCACCATCCATCCAGCTTAATTAATGGTACTACCCTCTCTAATGTTACCCACTTTCAGTATCTCGGCTCTCACCTATCCACCACCGTGGACATCGATGAAGAGATTCAACATCGGATCAGATGCGTATCTCAAGCCTGTGGCAGATTCCATACTCGTGTTTTCAGCTGTTGGGAAAAGAAATTATCTACAAAGTTGCACATGTATCGCGCAGTGGTCCTCCCCACCCTCCTATATGGCAGCGAAACATGTGTCACGTACAGGAGGCACCTCAAGGCACTTGAAAACTTTCACCAACGTAGTCTACATTCCATCTTCCAAGTTCTTTGGGAAGACAAGAAAACAAATACATTATTCTCACTGACACCAACTGTAGGAGCATGGTGGCTACCATTATCCATAAACAACTACGTTGAACTGGCCATGTTACCTACATGGACGACAGTAGACTGCCAAAGCAGTTACTTTAAAGTCACTCAACAAATTGTAAACGTAATGCTGGGAGGCAATTGAAAAGTAATAAGGATAGTCTTAAGACAAACCTGAAAAGTGCCAAATCGACCCCCTCACCTGGAAGACGATCACTCCACACCATAATGCTTGGAGGAGCACCACACGAGAAGGTGCAAATACTTTCGCGTAAGCCCAACCGCATACCAAGGCAGACAAGACTCGCAGTCGTTGGGTTCTTCACACCAATCATCGCTTCCGTTGTTTCGTGGCCAATCGAGTGGCAACGATACACGAGGACTCCAATGCAGAATAATGGCGCCATGTGAAGTTGGCACTGAACCCAGCCGAAGACGCTAGTCATGGACTACATGGAGCAGAGCTCAACGAGGAGGGCAGGTGGATTCGGGGACCTGCTTTCCTCTTGTTGGAAGAAGACAGTTGGCCAAAGAGTCCAATGAGGATTCCATACCTCACAGACAGAGCCCCAGAAGTGAAGAAGGAAACCACGGTGCTGACGACGAGCGCTGACCAGGGGGAGGGTATCCTCGATAAGCTATGGGCCAGGTACTCCTCGTGGCATCGACTTCTGAAGAGCGTAGCGTGGATTACAAGGTTTATAGAATGGCGGCTTAGGAAGCGAAGAACAAACATCACTGAGAAAATTTACTCAAGGTCAGTGAATTGGAAGATGCGAAATTAGCCGTCTTACGATTTATGCAAAGGAAAGGATTCCCTCGAGAACTAGGAATGTTACAACAGGGACAACCCGTGAGAGGTAGCGACGTAAGTCAGCTGGAACCTCATCTACACACGGATGGTTTGATCAGAGTAGGCGGCCTACTGAAACATGCCGCTCTCCACCCAGACCAGAAGAATTCCATACTGTTACCAAGGGACAACAGGATCACGGGGCTCATCGTGAGAGAGGTACACTCGACTGGAGCTGGACACTCAGGATGAGAACACACTCTTGCTGCAATACGTGAGACGTACTGGATACCTAAGTGCCGCAAATTACTCGACCGCACAATATGAACGTGCGTGACTTGTCAAAGGAGCAACTGGAGGCCTACCCATCAACGCCAAGCCGACCTGCCAGAAGATCGAGTGAACCCAGGAGGCCGGCCGTTCACCCACACTGGAATTGACTGCTTCGGCCCTTTTGTGGTTAAACAAGGCCGAGCCCGGGCGAAGAGATGGGGATGCTTGTTCACCTGCCAGACCACCAGAACCATACACCTAAAAGTCCTCACCTCACTAGACACTGACTTGTTCGGGGCATGCTGTACATGAAATTGTATTAAATGACCTTTTCATTGTATGGTCACAATTAAATGTTTCTTTACCCTCTGGCTATAGGGATGGCAAAGCCAAGGTTGAAGAAAAGCCTGGTGAACGGACATGCATCTGTTGAGAAGTTTGGCGAGGGGGCACGATGATGGTGGGACTCACACACCAGCACCTCAACACAGTCTCTCAGGCACAAATATGAAATATGATTCAAAACATTGACATATGCTGTGTTGGTAGGACTATAAATATTTTATGAATAGTGATATATATAACAACAGAACAAAGCATAGTGCACGTCCATTCATCTGGCCTTTCTTCAACCTTGGCTTCACTGTCCCTCCAGCCAGGGGGTAAAGAAACTTTGGATTGTTACTGTACCACATTCAAATCCTGATTCATAATTTATTATGTAAGATGATATTAATATGTTTAATACTGTAGTTCATTAGATTTTGTCACTTGATCACAAGTTACAGTAAATAAAGTACTGTATCAACTTCCCACACTTAGATGGTACAGAAATATTCATAGGATAATAGTGAGTGTGAACACACCAATATCTTATTTAAGTGTATGAAAATATATGTCCATCACTAGAAGGATCTGGACAACAACTCCAACAACCATTAAATAAAATAGAATAGAATAAAAAATATCATCTTCCAGTACACAGCAAATACAGTAGTAGGAGTGATATATTAATATCCCTAGCATAAACTAAAACATGCATATGCCAATATCTTACAGTATATACTGTACAGTCACCCAAAAAAGTCCTGTCGTGAACCATGAACCCCGAGATTCAGAATATTGAATCCGAAGCATTTATGGACAGAATAATGTATCGGTGTCAACTGCTTCGGGTTCACGAGTCTGAATCGTGGATCGCGACAGGATTTTTTTGGGTGACTGTACATGCATATTGTATATGAAAATATAGGCCTATTGCCAGATGGCACTGGCCAACAATAACATTCTTAACTACTTTATACAAAGACTGATGCCTATTTAATTTACAGAGTCTCCAGGGCACAGTGAGCAAGGCAACAAGTATCTTCATAGCCAGGAATTTGACAACTCCCAGCAAGGTATGTTTCCTCTGGCTTGTATAAAACTAATTAATTAACCGTTTACACTTTTTGTAGCATCTTAAGACCATATGGAAAGAGAATTCACCAGCTGTTGTCATGTGCATCACAGTTATTTCACTGGGAACATTATTTTATTGCATCACAGAACACTTCAATGATCACAAGGTTACAAGCCACTTGAAAAAAATTGCCTAAATCTTGTTCAATGTACATGTGTTAAAACATAGACCACTCAAAAAAATATATACTGTATAATAAATATTCCTCATAATCAAATTTAAAATTAAAAAATTGCCTTAAAACTATATTTAAATTCTTTCTTAACTGGATACAGCCACTTAATAACCATCACAATAAACCCTATTTAATACCCAGGTTAAGTTAGTGTTAGGGTGGTTAATCTTTAGGTGAAATAAGTTAGGGTGCAGATTTTTCAGGTGATCCACAAAATGAAATATAGTGTATTAGGGTCAGCCACAGTATGGTCGAGTTACCAGAAGCACACAATGTTTTGGAGGGCCTAATCTACATTAAATCGAGTAAGCTCGGTAAAAAAACGTACTGTTCAGGAGGGAGCCAATAAATTTTGAACTGAACAATCCTGTTGTCTCGCAAGGATTGGAAGGTGTGATTGTGAGACATTTCCTGCCAATTATGGTAGGCCTAATTTACTTACTTCATTCAAAATATAAAATTAATTCGCTGCAATGTGATTGGCGCCTTTATGAAAAACCTTCGTTCTTGGTGTCATTTGTTTCGCACAAGAATTGTAAAGATATTTTTTTTAAAGAGTGTACATTACAACATAAAAATGCAGTACATATATATTGAGAAATAAATAAATATTGTAGACACAGGTACGACTGCATATACTGTACTCCAGCACAGAGACTCACTCCTATACATGTACACACATATACTCCTATACTCTTACTAGGCTTAGTACAACCCCTTAGCAATCTTAGTCATTACAGAGCTCAATGTCTCAGGGAAATTTTGTTCTAAAATCCAAAAAACATAAAGAATACCCACAAAGCCCTTCAAAATTTACAAGTGAGAACATGCAGCCCCAGTCAAGAACACAAACCACCTCCACCTTTCCTTAATCACTCAACCAACCAAAGCTATTTTGAAGCCTAATACTGTTCTCAATTCCACAGCTTGAGCCAGTAGACTGTTTCACAGATCTACTTCCCTAAGTGATAAGAAATATTTCTTTATGTTTGCTCTGCATGATATCTTTGAAGCTAGTCTAGTGTTAGTGGTGCGTTGATATCATGAAAATATGGCCTGGATTCACAATTTCCATCCCTTTCCACATTATGAATGTCTCTATGAGATCTGCCCTATAATGTCTTGTCTGAAAAGTTGTTAGTCCCAAGGTCCTCAAACTATTTAGATAAACGAAATGACATAGTTCTGGAATCATCTTAGTCACTCTGTGTTGCACCTTTATTAGGGATATTAAGTCTTTCTGGAGGTAGGGTTCCATGCTTGTATACAGTAATCCAGACTGGGACATATGTAAGATTTTTAAAGTTGAAGAAGTATTTTCCTATCTTTGTATTCAAAGGCATGCTATATAATTCGCAAATCTCGGTTGACTCTTTTCCTGTTGCTCCTAGATCTTTTTCCTTATCAACAGTATTCAGGAAAGTGTTATTAACAGAGTAGTTGTTATTAGGGTTGATGTATCCTACACACAGTCTTACATTTTTTAATGTAAAAGAGCATTTGCCAGTCTCATAAGACTATTTGAAATGTTTGTGTAGATCATGTTCATGGTTGTGACATCGTCCTGACTTGCGACCTTCCCAAATATCTTCATATCGTCCACAAAACTGACAATGTGGCTAGATATATTTTCATCTATGTGCTGTGTGGTATTCCCGAGAACCTTTTTCCATTCTGAATATACTCTGTTTATGACCAGTGTATATTGGTGAAAATTTAATATCTTGGGATTTAATCAACTTTTCTTATTAAAGTACAGTACAGGAACAGTATTAAAAAAACATTATCAAAGACCAGACATATCAGTGTCAATATAGAGACTTAACCTCACAATTCACCAAGTCTACTTTGTATTTGACATTAAGTACAATTGCAGTCACCAAGACACTTATAAGCGAGACTTACTACTGTACTGTATTTAAAACACAGGGGTAAAAAAATAATGCAAATTAGAGAAACCCCATCACCTGTCATCATCAAGATAGCAGTATGTGAAGAAAAAAATTGACAGACATAACAAGTAAGGGTTATGAGAACATTACTCTCGTCCTGAAGAATGGTTAAAGAATTTACAACTATCTCGTAACAAAACACACATAATAGCATTCAAACTACTGTACTGTACTGTACTTGGAAACATTAGAGAACAGTGCCTAAGTATAGTGCAGATACCAAAGAAATGTAATTTGATTAATATACTGTAGATTGTTTATGGCATGTACTGTATCTATTAAATGAAACTAACTCTCACAGGCCTGAAAGGAGCAGTGTAGTTACAGCATAAAGTTACCCATTAATAGTTGAGTGGATAGGCCATACCTCGGGCACAAACCAAAAACCCTTTAGACAAAAGATGAGCGCTGTATCCACTCATACCCACTACTCTACTGTATCAAGGGATTTTACAAAAGATGCACACAATAAAAACAAAATAACAATCACTCACTAAAAATTAAATGGCAATTAGTTTTCTTCAAAGATTACTTGAGCTTGTACTTTATAATTTCCAACACTACTGTATCTGGGGATACAGACTTGTTATCCACACCTGAGCATCGACAATCAATGTACCACAATATTAGAACCAATGAGGCTAAAACAAAATATTTTAGAAGCTCAATTCTATACAGTACAGTACAGTAACTTCATGCATACAAAATACTGTAATACTGTATAAATAATTTACCTTCTTAGGAATTCATCATAAGCATCTCTCCTAATGGTATGAGCAGTTACTAAATTATGTTGCGTTAGAATCCGGCGAATATCATCTGTCAAGGCCCCATACAGACACCGCTCACCATCAAAAGTGTTGGCTTCACATCTGGCTCCTACTCCTATTAGATATTCCACTACTTGTAGATGGCCACATAAACATGCATAGTACCTGAAAGTACATATCAAGGAGTTACCTCATTGTTAAGACACAAGAATTAATGTGCATTTCTCAAGCTTCCCAACGGGACTTTTTTTTTTAGGTACATAAATAGATCATTTGTCAACTGTACACAGTACAAATTAAATCAAATAAGTTATAAATTTAGTCACCTTCACATTCATTTACATAGGTCAAACTAACAAATACTGTAACTGTACAAGTATACCCCGATAACAGACGCATATGCGGACTGTGAAAAGCCATTGGTTAGTGAATCAACGGGTATCGAAGCAATTAATCCCATAAGAATATTGCAAATTCAGAGGGTTGGGGACTGGCCACCCTCAAAAAACTCCCATCTACCCTTGATACATCTCTGTACTGTACACTGTCAAGCAAGAAAATAAAGCAGACATATAAAGCAAGCATAATAAGCCTTAAATAAGCAATGTAAAGCATAAATTGAGACTGTTATTTGCTTGTTTTGAGGATGGTAGAGATGGTCTAGCATGGCAAGTTCAAGTCTCTACCACTCTTTGCTGGTCCATCACCACTTTTATTATGCCTTGTCACATCACATCAAGCTGCCCCTCTTAGGGGTAGCACAAGAGGAACTATCACTGGGGCATTTAGGCATGATTGCTTAACACACGAAGATAGAAATAACGAAAAAACACGAAGATGGAGACAACATGAAAAGTGTAAACAAGTGCAGACGAGAATGAGTCGGGGCAGCGCACAGAGCCCTCTCGTGGCAAGAATTCACACCGTGCCACCGCCCGCCAAATTCAAAACAGCTCTACCACTCTTCCTCAATCGTCAGATCAATGGGGTGTCAATGAAAATTGCGGGGTATTTCCCCATATATAATCGTCGGTTATGAAAAGTGGCGATTAATGGGATGTTGGTTTTCGGGGTACAGTATACCTGTAGTAAAATTAAATAAGAAATTAATTAAGAAAAAAGCTGACCTATCCACCTTATTCTTTATTCAAAGCCAATTTAGTAAACATGCAAACTGTACTGTATTTAGGGGGTCATATTAACTAACATGAAATTACAATTGCATTTTTAATAAATTCTAATGAGTATTACTATATCAGCTGTACAATACATCATTTAACATAATAAATATAACATCTGGTTCATTCACCACATTTCAGGCATAAGCTGAGATGTCCTAAATGTTTTTTACATTGATATAGCTACAGCCTTAAACCACATCATTTAGGGCTCCATCAACAAAACCTGATACAGTACCCATGAGACTTGCACCAGGCCCCAAGTTTCCTCGCACGTCATTCGTATGGATCTTCCGTGTAACTTCAAAAAGGAAATTTTTATTGCAAACGAGTCTTAATATGAAAAAATTTGGCATTTTTAAGATTCGCTTAAATGCAAGGAAATAAAGAGCTTGGGTCAGTGCTAAGATAACATGCAGATTACCAACTGAGCCTGTAGCCCACCACTGGAGCTCCACCTTTAGAAATGTAACAAATCCCTTTCTTAGTGGTGAGGCCATTAGAAATGTCAGCTTAATTACAGGTATTAAGTGTCTCCTTCAGGAAAGGTACACAAATCAATTACTACTTTAGATACCCCCATGAAATTTTTCAGATCGACTGAAAATTCACAAATCAATCAACTAAAAGTATACTATAGTTAAAATTCATGAAAATGTAGAACTTACAGGGGTGTACTGTCCCACTTGTCTCGTATATTGACATCCACATCTCGCTGTTCAACAAGAAGCCTGCAAGAAACAGATGTATGTCAACAAATAAATAAGTCACTATCTGGATAACTTAGGTGACATGGTTGCACAAATGTGGTTTTGATGATACGTAATAAAACTGATGCGTTATCTTTTTCCTGTGATTCTAAGTTTTTCATCTTTATCTACAATCATAAATCACCTGTAGTGGGCAGGGCATTAAAAAAGATTAAAATTACAGGGTTAAGATAGCAAAAAACCTGTAGTGGGCAGGGCATTAAAAAAGATTAAAATTACAGGGTTAAGATACAGCAAAAAACCTGATCATATGGCATTAATAAACCATCTCTAAATGCTTTGTAGACAAATAAATAAATTATTTACCATAAATATTCAAACCATATTTCTTCAGTGGCGTCTTGTGTTGGTATCTCATCATCAATTATAAATTTGTGATTTTGGTCTTTGTAGACATTAAAAGAACGAAGGAGGCGCACATCGGGGGTTTTATTACCAAAAATATTGGATCAATTGTCCTTTGTTTTCAATGTTATAGGTTTCACTTTCCTGGTTTTCAGGTTTATAGGTCGCACAAATCCCCCCCTTTTTTAACCTTTGCAGAATTGATTCTTGAACCTATTAATACGTATTATATACAGTAGTTGGAATTGAATCCCATATTATGGGTTTAGATACATTCTCAATTTCTTTCCAGTAGCAATGGATTCAAAGTGTACTATATGTTTGCATACTTATTGTTTTTCTTCCAAGGGAACAGACTCGGAGACAAAATCGACTTCTTGTATTTTAACTAAGCAGTAAATGCATCCTGTACAGATTGTTCTTTATCTTATCGGAAGTTATCTTTTGTTGTAGAGGATGAAGACTGCCTCCAAGAGTTCATATATTAACATGGACTAGTTGGCAGAACTGACAGTGAAGAAGAAATATGGGTTTCAGTGCAATAAATGATGAATGTAAAATTACACAATGCCTCTTGAAGAAAGTTGTTTTCATTGGTACCAGATATCAATGTAACTTCCTTCTGCTTAATATACCGAGGGGTCTTGGGTACAGAGTCCCTCGGTTAGGAAGTTAGATAAGGTTAGGTAGGTCTGGTTGGTTAGATAGGTTTGGATGGTTAGGTTGATTAGATCAGGTTATGCTAGGTTCTACACACTCTTGTATCGGAAATTATTACTAACTATCATCCAAACAACATGAAGAAAGCATTAATGAAAGAGAACTCTTCTGTTGTTAGCCATCTCCACCACCATTACTGTAAATTTTGACCAATATGGTACAGTCAGTGGTACGTTGCAACCATGTACCAGTGTTCCTCTTGATAAGAAGTCTAATTATAAAGTTGATATATATATATATATATATATATATATATATATATATATATATATATATATATATATATATATATATATATATATATATATATATATATATATATATATATATATATATATATATATATATATATATATATATATATATATATATATATATATATATATATATATATATATACACGGTATTTTTGCGTTTACACAGCGCATTCCTACCACTAATCTATTATCATATTATAATAAGACGACTAATTATAAGATAATTTTCATCTATTACATTACCGGCGGAAATGTATAATAACGGAGATAGCATATCCAAAATTTTCTCTATTTTCTTCCATTAATCTTCCTCCATTATCGCCTGCCTCACCTCCAACACTGCGTGTCTCCTGCGTCTCCTTCATAAATCATCACGCGCATGCGTTCCCGTACACGTCACGCGGCCAATCAAAAGCGTTTTTGTTTTGCAACCAATTAAAATTATTTTGGGTTTAATTCATGGTATATTTGGCCCAATCAAATTCAAGTTTTAGTTTGGGTCTCTCATATTTCGAAATTGAAGTTCGGTTCCGACCATGGAAGTCTGCGATGGGTGTCACTTAAATTATATGGAGCTGACTGCAAGTTTTTGGGAAAAAAACGAAGAAACTATAGCATTTTTTCGATCGCATGGTGTTCTTCCAACCTCAGTAAAGTATACTAAGAGCAAGACTGAATATAAATATCGCAAAGACCAACATGTGTGGCGTTGTGTAAGAATCTCAGAATCCAACGACGAACAAGAACCAGGCCAATAAGGTAAGAAGTAGGTGATTCCATCATATGGTGAGAGTTAGGTTAGGTTTGGTTTTGGTTTTTCTAGTGTTTTTTGGTGTATTTTGCCATGATTTTTTTTCGGAAAGCATCCAACGAAACAAATTTGATAAAAAAAGGCTAATTTCCGCCAGAAATGAAGGCCATATTCGGTCTAAACACACACAAATACACTAGAAAGATATATTTTTGACTTTCTAACAGAGTGCGGTGTGACAGTGCAAATTTACCATATATACTTTAATTCCCCAAGCTTGACCTTACTGATTTATCTAACGTTGACTAATGATAACTGTTTCTGCAATATGAAATGTCAAAAAAATAAAAATCACGATAAAGTAAGACTACAAATGGTAAGCTTATTTCACCAACACTTATAACTAAATGTTAAGTTGGGTTAAGTTAGATATTAAAGAGGAATAGGCATAGCAGGTGGTTAGGAAGACTGAACATAGTTGAGCCACTAGATATTTTAATTACCTTACCTGACTTCTTCAATGTCTCCTTTCTTGCATTCGTTAAATAACTCCAAGGCATCCATGGTGAGTTGATGGGGTTAATATTCAGTACAGTTTGTATGAAGATTCGACCAAAGTAAATATTATGAACTGCGTCAGAGCACTGTTCACCTGGCGTGGGTCCCGGGTCCTGCTGCTGTGGGCGACTGTTGTTTACCTGATCAGCTGACACATTCCTCAGTGCCTTCACAAACACACAAACGAAAATATTTACCTCAATGAAAATCATACATTGGGTATATTATAATAAATCACGTTAAATAATAAAATATTTTGGTATTATTTCGCTTGTTGCCACTAAACGAATCTCGAGTTTTATAGTTGCAATCAGAAATTTCGTCAATTCTAAGACAATTTCTTAAAGTCGAAATAAACTAATGGGTTGATTTCCAGTTTTGACCTTTCTCTTGCAAATGACTTCAATATACCAGAGATCCTGGGGGGCGGTGCCCCCCCCCCCCTCCCCGGTTAGGAGGCTTTGTTCTGTAATTTTAGGTCATTTGCGAGGGAGGGGTGCTGGTGGTAGAGTGGTACCGCTCTTGCCTTCACAAGCCAGATGTCAGGTGTTCGATTCCCGGGCCGGTGGAAGTTATTTGAACATACTTCCTTGCCCCCATTAATCCCTGTTCACCTAGCAGTAAGGTAGGTACCTGGTGTAAATCGAAAGTTGCGAATTCGTATTCAGGGACAAGTTGTTGGAGCTTCCAATAACTTGATGACATAAACCACTGACTCTTGAGGCTTATACGCCCTTGACTCATGAGACATAAAGGCAAGCATGAACTTAGCATGCTTCCCTGTTGGGCACTGTAAACGCTTCTGCGCTTCACCTTACACAAGGATGTAGGGGAGTGCCCAATAAATAAAATAAAAAATAATAAAATAAATTTTGCTAGGGAAACGTCATAGAAGAAAAGTATATTTAAATTGTCTAAACCATCGGGTCACGTATTTTTCAAAAAAAAAATTCTTTGGTTGGTCGAAACTACTATGATTTGTCGTCTTGGACAGCAAATCTAGTTTCAACTGAAAGATGTCGAAATCAAATGAAAATTTTCGAAAAATTCATCAACTTGGCGATTTTCATTGAAAAAACGTCGATTCGGAGTGAAAATAGAGTCCAGTATTGGTACTAAAGGTTAGTGAACGCATATAATTATTGTGGAATAAAATAACGCAACAAAAGAACCTAACCTACCCCAACCTAACCAGCTACTTTGGTCATTGTACTCACCTACTGGGTAATTATTCCGCAAACACTGGCCAATAATAGGCCAATATAGTTTAAATAGCGAAATACATTAACAATTTCCGAATAAAACTTTAGAAAAAAATTACGTTTCGGTCATCCCTGTATTTAGATATCCAAACTAAACTAAACTAAACTAAACTAAACTAACCTAACCTAACCTAACCTAACCAAGTCACAGAACCCAAGACCCTCCCCATATGACCGAAACTAAAATAATACCAAACTTAATAAAGGTGAATGGTCTGGTACTTAAGTTTGGATCTGGCTGCTGAGGTATTCTTGCCGATAAACGTTACTGTCTGAAGCCGTGGTGTCCTCCCCCACAACCACAACACGGGAGCAATCCTTTACATTGAGCACGAGCACATCCCTTGAGTTGCACACGACTCTTCAACAGCACAGGTAGAGAGCTCAGGGCGGGAGACTGAGGCATCACACCGACCACCACAAACCACCGTCCAGCCACCCGTTCAACGTGCACTCCATCGTTTCTTCTCTGTGGTGTGAACTTTAGATTAGCTCCGAAACATAATCGAATCCCTATGAAGCTCCAAGCCATCGAACCCTACTAAGAAAATCTTTCAACTCTTAACATACTGAAACATTACAAAATAAAACAAGCAACAAGATTTCATTTATCATAAAGTATACAATGAAACCGTAATGATACAAAGATTATTTATATATGTCAAGGTATGGAACGGTAACCGAACATAATATTAACCCAACACAATCTTAAGGAGCTCCGTGGCTCCGCAAGCTCGTTACACAGCTTTCTTAATACTCTGGGGTGCACCATATCAGGACAGGGGACTCTCAATTTATTTCTTATACCCTCTTGTGAGAGCATGAATGTATGGTTCCTTGATTATTTTTTTTTACGCTGAATAACTTCCCACTGTTAGTTTAATTAATTGTATTACATGAAGATGAGAGACCCAAGCTTATTTCACCTGATTATTAAATACCCAAACGTGACCTGGACGGGTTAGGTTATGTTAGTTTAGGTAAGTTTAGGTTAGGTTAAAGTTAAATTAGGTTAAGTTAGGTAAGGTTAGGTTCGGTCTTCCTAGGTTGGCTTGCCTATTCACCAGGTGAAATAAGCTAGGGGACTTAATGTTCGGGTGAAATAAGCTATCTAGCCTTAACCTTCAGATGAAATATGATCCGAGTTACACCCTCTTCCACTTCGCAACGTCGAATCAAGATCCATTAGTGATCATGCTTGAAGCTGAGAAGTGATCATTCAGAAAGCTTTCATAATTTGGTAATTTTCAGTTTCCTTGAATAACTTAACGTAATCGAAAAATATTTATTTTGGTGACTGAACAGCATCTGTGAAGTCATTTACGGAAGTCTACAAACAACACGGGTCCTTGCGCTTTCCCTCCCAACTCACAGTTTGTCGTGGGTACATCTACAGATTACGATTTCACACATGTCCAAGTACTTGCCAATAGTGTGTAAGAGACGTGACCGACCTGCCAAGTCGCTAACGAGTGAATATGTATAAAACCTACACAGTGGACTGCTCTTTCCTCATGAAAAGAATTATTGATATTAAGATGTTTTCATCCTCCCCATCCCTTGATTTCCGAGGGGAGCATGTCCCTCTGCTTTACTGCGATAGGGGCACCTATTTACAGACGAGACAGGAATGATACAGATTATAACTCACTTGAAAAGAACGTGTACTTGGCTGAGCATCCCGGTCACTAATAAAATTCCACTCTGATGTATGAAATTTACAAGTCCACTTTGCTTACATAACAATATACAGCGTTAACAGAGGACCGTGTTCTGAAGAGTTCAGAAGCAAGAAAGGACATAGAAATAATAAGATAGGAAATCACAAATATTTTATTTTGAATTCACTGCACAACTCTGCTTTTCACTGTCTTCCCAGCAGTGTGTCCTCTCTTGGTCATCATCCTCTGGCCTCTCTTCATCTCACTCTGCTTCTATGGCTTTCATCCGTCTCCTTGTCTTCTGATATTCTTTGAAATCTCCTTTTCTTTCCTGGCCTTCTTTCTTAATATCTGGCCTTCCTTAACCTTCTTTCTTAATATCTGGCATTCTCCAGCCTTTCCTGGCCTACCCTGACTTTCTTCAGCCGTCCCTATTGGCATGTGGTATTTCATGCCCTTCCCAGGCCTTCTCTGGTAGCAGTAACTGGACTCCAGGTGAAAGTATCCACCTCTGTCATGCCACGCTCCACCATCAGTAGCCGCCATCAACACTCACCATTACTGCTCACTATTACCATTTATGTAGGAGGGAGTTGGGAAAGCTGTGAGAAAAGGTGACAGAGAGGGAAGGAGGGTGAGACGTGAGAGAGGGTGTGGGTGGGTGGGTGAGAGAGGGAGGAGAGTGGGGGCGTGGGGCAGAGTGGAGTGGAGGGAGGCGACTGAAGACCGGTTCACCCTTGCCCGTGGTAGTAGTGGTAGCGGGAGGGAGACCAGTGGTGACCGTGATCCTGGTGTAGGTGCTGCGATACGCTTCTTTCGGGTTGGTTACTGGAGTGTAGTTCACATACACATTACATCACTACACCACTCCACTGCTACATCAGTTTACGTCCTTGTGCCTGTGTGATCACGTCAGCTGTGAGAGTGATCATTTCTACACTTGTCTACTGCAACTGTATGGGTGTTCGCTCGCCCCGTTCATTCGCTGTTTGTCCTGTGGTCATATGAACAGTGCGAGTTGTTCATGACAAACGTTGAGAAGGTATGGTAGTGTTCAATGGCGAAGAAAGTGAAATATTATTAACAGTGGATAAATATATTCTATACCTGGTGCAGTGTTCTGAAAACTGATTGGATATGGAGGTAGTGAAGTTCAGTGTCGGTGTACAGTGTAATTATCGAGGCCTGCTATATGTTGCGTTATATAACATCACTACGCCGCTGACCCATGATGGTTTTAGGGTGACGGAGATCACATTACAGTGATGATATTGACAGTATTATTCAACTGACGTAGATTGTGATGCCATGATGGTGGAGAAGGTTGGGTGATGCTGCAGACACTGGTGGTGGCACAGTTTGGGAGAAGACTGTGAGAGTTAGGGACAAAGTTGTGATGGTAAGGAGATATAAAGCAATGTTGTGCTTCTCAACTTATCATTCACTTCATTTATATCAAACTAAATACAGAGTGTAAGTGAGAGATAAATACTCATAGCAATAGTATGGTCGGTCTGTGATATCAAATTATTGTTTAAGTTTGATTTAAAAAGTTGTTGTAATAGAAAAAAAGATATTATTGAATACACGAAATATAATTATAATTGATCTTTCAAAACACACTTATCATTAGTAGTAGTAGTAGTAGTAGTAGTAGTAGTATGATCTTGCGGGAGAAATGTTAAAAACCAGAGCGACATTTCCGGGGTCCTGGAAGAGCGAAAGTGAATATAACACTAAACTGGACGAGGCTCAGATATTGTACCTGCTGTTACTAACTGGCAAAGTGAGACTTGAAAATGACAATGACAGTTTTGAAGATGGAGCTAAAATTCTGTAGGGTGGTGTGGGTGGCCTAGGGGATGGCCGTACACTATAGTCTCTCTCCGTCCACCCGGGGAATTCAGTTGGCAACGTAAAAAATAAAAAATAAATGAAAAAATATATGAACAAATATTAAATATTCATAAAGCCAAAATTGGTAACAGATGTTTAGACAAGATATACTGGTCATATCTTTTCACTTCTCACACTTCTGAAATGGTTTACCAATTAGAAATAACTGTACAGTATCTAGGAAATTTATAGAACTCCAGAAACTAAGTATAACCTTTAGAAATTGTTAGCATCAATGAAATAATGTTGACCTTTAAAATTATTGTTTATAACCTAGAAATAATTTTGTCTGGAAAAAAGTGGTGATAACTAGCGATACCCTTGTGAC